AAATAAAAAATATCTGATTTGAATGTTCGTGGCAACGTCCGGACATTAAGGCCCTGTACACACTAGGCGTTTTTCAACGCGCGTTTTAAAGAACCAAGAGTTCTATGTAGCCGTACACACTCAAACGCCAAGCGCGCGTTTATAGCGCGTTTATAGAGTTTTGTTAAAACGCGCGTTTTGCGAGCGCTTTACGGGGGCTTTGAGATATATGTGCTGAAATGGAAAACGATCATTTCGATACTGATCTATTTATTGATGATATCTAAAAGACACCAACCATTGTCAAAGGATTTTATAGATATTTTAAAAGAATTAAAAAACTTGAATTTATTTTGTCTTAGTTTTGGATACAACGTCGCAAACATTTCATGCGTCAGTCTATCTCGTAATATTGGGTGCACCCAAAATTCTCTTTGCCTCTGCCGTCGTCTTTTATAGCGACGATAGAGGAGCCACACACAAGCAATCACTTCCACATCCATTTCCAAACCGAGCCAGTGCGCACGCTCCGCTAAACGCTCGTCAAACGCCGAGCTAACGCGCGTTAAACGCGCGTTAGCTCGGCGTTCGACGAGCGTTTAACGCGCGTTGAAAAACGCCTAGTGTGTACAGGGCCTAATAGTTCTCAGTCTGGCAATTCTACTATCACAACTAACAACTATTTGCTATTGTACAAAAATAAAAAAAAATAACAGAATATTTAAATACTGTATAATATGACAGTAATTTCAAAATAAAAAATAAAATTATTAATTCATAAATATTTCACAGAAAAAATTTAATAAATAAGCATATTCATTGTTTCGATCTACATTGTTAAAGAAACAATATTTATCGGAAGACAATGAAAAATATTGTTTCCGTATTGTAAGAGATTTACTTGGCCGAGTCTAATCGTTTGGACTTTCGCAACGCTATGGACTTTCTATTAGTACAACGGTTGACTGCCCAGGAGCACGATTGCACCGTACGTGGGACCTGGGAACTCAATCGTTGTAGCAATTGAAAGTCTATATCCTTGCGAAATCCCAAACGATAAATAATCGCTAAATAAAGCTCTTACAATACATATCGGAAAATTTTTTGGATTGGAATGGGTAGAGGGCGAGCAAAGAGAATGACAAAAGTCATTATTGGTCGTTTTACCTATAAGAACTTGGCGCGCCATCCAGTTTTTCTCTCTACTTGCTACGCTGTCTAGCAAGTAGGGTTGGTTTCTGGAAACAAAAAAAAAACACCACAAGGTGGGTGTCACCTTGACGTTGTTTTGTGGCTTAAGTGAGAAAATTTTATGATAATTCTGAAAATAGAATTTTCTACAAACCAAGAACACCCGACAGCATTAATTTTTGAAGTTTTCAGTGCTGTTTCAGAGCTTTACAGTTAAGAAACTAACATTTCCATGTAACAACAGGTAACGAATTTGTTCTGACTTCTTGTGCAAGTAACAAATACGTAAGTAATATACCAGATACATCCAACACACCTTATTGCTGAGAAACATATATTGATTACACAAAACTAACGTTTTCGGCACAATTTATGGGCCATCTTCAGGTTACCGTTGTTCGACTCTAATACAAAATCGAATACGTTCAAAATTAAACCAAATTAGAACATACGTTTAAATTAAACCAATAGAATCAGCATAACCAAACTAAAACAATAAATAATAAAAAACCAGTTATTTTGAGGTGAACAATTTAATTAAGGTACAGTTAGTTGATAATTACATTCCTAACCACTTATTTTAATAAATAACATTGGATTTCTGTAATTCAAAAATTATAACCACACTTTGTTATAAACGAGAGAAAATTGTACTTTGGGACAAAGAAGTTTTTGTACCTTGGGACAGTCCCAAGACACAAGGCATTGCTTTTCTCAACTATTTATTTAATATTATGTTTCTGTTGGCCGCGAAGAAAAAGAACGAAGTAAATAAAAATGCTAAATGTGTTAAAAAGCGAGTTTTTAAGAAGAAAAAAGTTGAAGTTAGTAGCTCTGAGGATGAAACTTCTGTGATCTTAGAGAGTGACGACTCGTGTGATGAAGTTCAAGAGGAAAATAATTGTGTAGGATGCGATGAAAATTATTTTACTACTTCGAGTTCCAGTTAGCTTTAACGGAACAGCTAAGACCACTTTTTAAAACGTTTTAGACAACATGGTTATTGCTTTTTGGCAGAGAGAGTGGGAGGTAGAAAAGACAGGGAGGCTAACCTTTTCCTTTATACCAAAAATCCAGGAAAGACTTGAATGATAACACCTGACAATCAATCATACAACTTCCCAACTCCTCACGGACCACTGAAACGTACGAAGTTACCTCCATAGGTTCTATCTTCGAGACTTACTACTGTAATTGCGACGGACAAACCACGCAAAATGTTTATCATCTTACCTTTGCCTGTGCTACTTTTGATACTCAAAGCGTTCCACTTTTACAAAAGGTCCTTTCCTGAAGATGGAACTGGCCACGTCCTTTGAGTGCCTTCGTCAACAATAAAGACTTATATACAGAACTAACGCCTTCATCGATTCCAAAGGAGCACTCAACGATACCTTCACTCCCAGAAACTAAACATACATTCTTGGTGTCTTCAAAAATGCTCTACAAAAGCACTGAATGAAGATTTCACCTGACAGGCTAAATATACATATTTGGTGTCGTCAATGGTGTTCCACAAATCACTCAACGCGATTTTCATCTCCACAGACTAAACCTACATCTTCAATGGTGTTTCCTTTCGCATTCAACCCAGGCTTTCAATATATACAGCTACTAAGACCAGGCTGAACTCTTGCAAGGGTCAACCAACTGTCAGACAAGCTACTTCGAGGAAATTGTCGTACTCCCATTGCAAATGGCAATGTGTATTGTATTCATAACGGACACAAGCCTACATCTAGGGTACTTTTGTTTAGTACGCGTTGTATTTTATTACCATGTATATATCTATTTATTTTCTTCCTTAGTGAGGATGTACGGTCCCCATTGCAACTTGCGATGTTTCATATGTTTGTTCGCGTACCCCTAGTTTGGGACGCTTTTGTTTAGACAGTTTTTTTTGTAACACGTGGTGTTTTTTCGACATATGTTCATTGTTTTATGTCCCGTTTTAATGGTCTTGTCGATCTCCCATTGCAAGTCGCAATGTTTTCGCTTCGTGAGTGTCCTTCGCTTACGACACTTCTGTAATATGGGCATCGATTCTGTGTTTGTACATATTGCTTATTGTCTTGTCATAAGAAACTTTGTCGGTTACCCTATTGCGAGTACAATGGGTATTGTAAATATGTTATGTTTGCGTGCCCATCACTTAAGGTGCTTCAGTAATTCTTAACTACTTTTCCACAACTGAATGTAAATACTTAATTTTGTTTTAAATAAAAGCGATGCAGGCGCCCTTGGGACTTCCGTTTCATTCCCTTTCCTATTCTTCTTTATAATTTCACCTTCACCCTTTTTCTCTAAATCATTTTTCCCTCCATTTTTCACCCCAAGCAATACCTTTGAGTAGCTCTGGTTTCATCCCCTATCTGCTAAAGTAAAAGGTAGGCCTTTCATATTCGCGTACCATATAAAATAATTCAAATCCAATTAATTAACTGTTAATTAGTTTCTATAATAAATGAATCAACCAATGACTTCCTTAGCCTTATAAATTTAAATACGGAAGGTAAAGTGATGGTCAGATTGCGTATAATTTTTAAAAATACTGACATTTCATAGTTTTTAATAAGTTGTACCTAAATTTCACCAATTCCTAATGCCCTTATCAGTTCCCATACGAACAAAACCATTAAACACTGGCAGTTGGTTTCGGATTCGAGTTCAACCAATGAGCTGTTTGTATGAAGTTTATTAGGATATTTTTACGTTTCTAAGGCCTAATGCAAGCCAGTTTTCCATAGAAAATTCTTTCGGAATGGCAACCTCTCAATAGATCCTCCATATGTTGCGTTGCTTTATTCCATCAATTCAATTTACTTTTTAATGTGACTACGTATGTCATTGGTGATGTTTACTGTTATACAGAATGTATAGTGACCATTGAGAAGGAGCCGGAAAAAAGAGGCGTTTCTTGCACCTGCCGAGCACAGAAGAGGAGATCCTTACACTACCACGGACATTCTAATGGTCGTGAGCAGGCGAATCTTGAATTTTTTAGCTAGGATAATCTTAGAAAGAGATTGCCCTCGCACCTACTGGACACACAGAAGCAATCATTACACTCGACGTCACGGGATGCGATTCAAGAATAAAGCAATCGACATCAACTGGTTTGCTTTTGAGTTTTGTTCGTTTCTTGCGCCCATTTCTCGTTAGGCAAGCGTAACGCTTTTTTAAACTTTTGCCACCAAAATTCTGTTCGGTGGGCTCAATCTCGTTTAGAAGATGGCCATTGTCACTTTAACACTACCTGTATCTGGAAAACAAATTATCGATCCTTATTATTTAATTACATTTTTTAATTCCTAAGCTAAAATCATTGTATATCATTCTGCCTTATGATCAGAACTGTTCTTGAATTTTTCTGAAATGATCAAAAATTCATTCTTGATCCAATTAGCTGATTGCTCGATTAACTAACGCGAGGTGTCAGCAGATTATGGCTACACGGCCAATCACAGTTAACCCATTACCAGATACCAGCATATTTATGATTGGCCAGAATGGAATTTGCCAGAATACTCGACGGATTAAGCGACAAACTAAGTTAACATATTGTTTACCTGAAAAGGTTTTTAATTTTAATCAAAAACTTATTTTTACAGAATTCATATACAATTTGAACGCATATTAACAACACAAAAGGTTTTATCAGAAATTGTATATACTGCATTTTTCCTGTCTTGGTCTCAATTAATATTGAATATGACAATATTACAAAGTAAATTTAAAATTTCGCTTCAGATTGAAAACAAATACGGCTACATTTTTGAAAAAAATGTCTTTTACCTAAAACCTATGGATAAATTTGAAGTTATATATACTTAGTATTGATTTTCTGCTTGTTTTCTCCGCTGGAGAAAGTACCACCAGTAACAAATTGCAAATATAAAGAATAAACACGGGAATATAAATCTAGAATAATAATCAAGTTTGCTAATTGATTCTCCTGATTTTAAAATTTCTTGAATGCTTGTCTTCTTCCCACGAGATCTGATAGTTTTATTTACGACGTTGGGACAATTTTCTGCCCATTTTCCTGTCGATTGCATACTCGGATGAAGCTGCAAAAATAATTAATATTGTTAATGCCTTTAAAGTTACTACAATTTTTAAATATCATGAAATGCTCGATATCTTACTGCGTTTTTATGTTCCATAAACTGATGAGCAAGGGCATATTCCAGTATAGAAGCTGTGACAAAAGCGGTACAAGCAAACAACCATATATCCAATGCATTTATGTAGTTCACTGGTGGGGTATGCGATCTAGATTGTACTATTTGAGTAATTAATGTGAGGATAGACGTTGTACCAAGCGTAATTCGAGCTGGAACAGCATTAACGTTCAACCAGAAAGATAACCACGAAAGGCAAACTACTAAAGTACTAGGCACGTAGAGGTTGATTATACAACCCGTTAAACGACGAATAAATGTAAACCTTGCCAACAAATAACTGAAATTACCTATTCAAATAAGATTGTCAGTTAATTATTGTTATATACAATGCATAATATATATATATTTTATGTATACGCAACGTAGAATTTCTTTTCAATGTTACCATTTATCCAACATTCGGTTACTCTGAAAGGTTTTTGGATCCTCATTTCATATTTTAATGGTTGAATATCTTCAGTTAGTGTAATACTTGGCCTATTATTTCTGTATGGACTATCTGTAGCTCCGGACCATTGCAGAATTGCTTTGTCTTCGCTGTTAGTTACTATATACAGTACATTAAATTTTAGGAAAAGAAACATTAATAAATACTGAAAAATATATAAGTTCTATTAAATAATATAATTTTTGACCGTTTTCTACCTATTGATAATGAGAAATTAAGTTTATACTCACAATAACCAATTTTGAAGATGCAATGTTGGATATCAATCGGATAGGTCTGAAATTTCATATGACATGCAACACGGAAACTATATCTATTCAATATGAAAAAGTTATTATTAATATTCATCAACTAACTACAGTCGATCCCCCTATAACACTGTTGATTATTCCGTTTTATATGAATTCCATGTTGTACGAGTCACTTAGATTTTACAAATACGTGTGCCGGGTTCTGAACGGCTCACGTATTTGTAAAATCTAAGTGACTTGTACAACATGGAATTCATATAAAACGGAATAATCAACAGTGTTATAGGGGGTCGACTGTATTAGTGATACCACTCTTAACCGAATAATATTTCAAATTTTAATAAAGAGAAATCAAACCTTGTTACTTTTTGTAAAGTATGATCCGTATTGACTTTCAGGGCAGTGTTCGGTATTGAATACTGAAAAAGATCACCCCATTTACTGTTATCAAATATCAAGTCTGGAATCCAAATATCTTTTTCAGCACTTGGAGGAAGCACTTTAACTTTTGTTATATTTAACGTATGAAGTTTTATTCTAGGATCTCTCCATATCTGATTTTGATACAGGTGTACACGAAAATCCTAAGATCGGAAATTAATTTTATCATCACACAAAATATTTACAATTCTATACAAAATATTTACCATTGTATCTTCTCTTATGTCATCAACATCCATTATTTCGAGATTTACATAAACAATTACTGGTTTCCCTGTATATAAATAATAGTAAATTTTTACGTATATATGGTTTTTACTTTATAAATAATTTTTAATATTTAAAGGTAAATTTTTGAAACAGAAAAATCTAATTATGTAAAATTACTTGAAGACCTTCAATACAGAGATCTTCAACAACCACAGCAGAAATTAAGAATAATTGTTATAGTTTCTTAATATTTTTATTTATAAACAGATTTATAAATGTATTGCCTGAAATATTTTACAGATCCAAAATTATATACATTAAAAATTTATAATGAAACTTGCCATTAACAATAGGAGGAGCATACTTATCGTATTCAGTTGGTATCATATTCAACCAATATTTTTGATTTCCTTCGCTGAAAAACAGAAGAAATCTATTTTAATTTATAAAGTTTCTAATATTTTGCATTGTTTTAACTTAAAATATGAAAAGGATACCAAATAGTAACATCAGGATACTGATTAGTAATCCAGTTAAATGATTTTGTTTCATTGGATATGGCAAAGAGAAACATGGCCAATCTATTAAGGAAGGGATGCCTCTATGGAAAACTTGATTTTATCTAAGACGTGAAGAAAATCTGAAAAACTTTACGTGGCCACAGTGCCGTAATTAGGGCGATGCCAGCGGTGCCCGGGCACAGGGCGCATACCCTGGGGGCGCAGAAATGACCTGGACCAAGTTTTGGGTCATAATTTTGGGGCGTAGTTACAAAAGCTCTCACCGGGCGCATAAAAGGCTAGTTACAACGCTGCGTGGCCAGGACTTTGGCGGGGCGACAAACTATTAATGTTTGGTGGTTTTATTCACTCTGCCATTGTAAAATGCCGAATGCCAAAAGCTATTGATGAGAAATACCAAAGACTATTGATGGGGGATGTGACTATTCATGAATTTCATTAAAAGCATCCAGTTTCAGTAAAATTTAATTTATGGCAACATTACAGCTTGTATTTTATTAAAAGTGTAATCTATAAACTTTTAAATTTGTTTCTATTTTGGAAGTAAAATTGAAACTACAACTCACAACTGAAATGAAAATTGAAAAAATGCAGTTAAAAATCAATATCATTGATAGTATGAAAAATGTTTCGGGAAAATTGGGCTTTTAATAACAAACTAAATACATTGATTAAGCAACTTTACTCCATTATTGAGTACATACAAATTAATTAACGAATTTAACCCTATTATTAACTTCTAATTAACGAACACCCCTTAGTACGATTATAAAATCTTGATTTTAACGAACCGGCGCCATTATTGAGCCTCCATTAACGAATTTAATCCCATTATATAACTTTTATTTGCGAAGTAAACCTCATTATTGATCTCGATTAACGAATATGGATGGAACTAGTACGAATCTCTACGAACGACATTGTCACCATTATTCCAATTCTATTCACGAATTTTTTCTACCTTACGAAATGTAAATGCAATGTAAAAATCCGCAACACTTACCATCGTTGTACGTTGTACAGTGTAATTGGAAAGTAAAAGAGAAATATTTTAAACATAACTTAAGTTGTTATCACCATAACCAGAAGTTGCATCTGGCTAAATAATACTCTATCGACCAAAAGATAAACACAACCCGTACGACTTAACACATTGCATGACAAATCTCATGGATTTAAATATTGACCAAACGCGTTTATATTGAGCAAAAAATTTCTTATTTCAAATGGAAGAACTATTATTATGAAAATAAAAAAGACATGTGCTTAGCTATATTCGTGTTTTAATTTATATTCTGAATGCAAATTGGGAATTTTATTGATTTAACAAAATAAAATGAATAATATAAAACCTTCACATGCATAAAGGATGAGTTAGATATTTTTCTTCAAACACATCAATAAATAATCATGAAAATTTCTTTTCCAAATACATAAGTATAGGATAATGGAAATTTCTTCTTCAAATCATCATTAAATTTCATATACTGTAACGAATAGAAGTCACTTACAGATAATAATTTTGATTTTCCAAATTTTAATTTAATATTTAGCGACTTCTTTCATATGAACCGCATTGAAAATTTTATTTAATTTATAAATGTTTAATTAATGTAATGAGTTATTGTTTTTCTGTTAATGTCTTCGGTTATAATAAATTCTACACGTGTCTATAACTATACTAAATTACTTGGCTTTGGGTTAGGTACGAACCCACTATCAGTGTTTAGTAGTGTTATTAAATTTAATAAATCTCTAGCTTAGAATTTAAGTTAGTTTGCTTTCTGGTCTGAAATATCGAAAAAGTAATCAATCAATTGAAGCGAGCATAAAGGTAACAAAAATGTGCATGCGTTATACACTTTTTATTTTTTCTATTGTTCTAAAAATAATATAAATATATTATAGAATACATTACATCAACTAACAGAAATACTAACTAAAAAAATGTTTTCAATGTTTGAAAATTCTCTATTATTATATTACATCAGACGTAACTCTAAAGTTATACCTTTTATTTTATAGTAAGTTGAATAATACTATTTTTAATAATAGGTACCCATCAGTGGCTGTGCAAAACAATATTGAATAATAGTACAGGGCAACACACTGGTCCTTTTAGAGGTTTTCTTTACGTGTGTAACACAAATAGGGGTTAATTTCAGAGTGTTCACGGAAAACACTCTCTCCGAAGATGATCGTCCGTGCATTGCATTGGCTCATCCGTTAATCCCACGAATCTGAATAATTTCATAAAGGAAAATATATAAAATATACAATATAACAACTTTACAAATGCTTAGTGGTATTTCATAGCGAAGTACAATACAATAAAGGTTTTTTTTAGTCTGGCACCACAAAAGTGGTGTGGATTATCAAATATGCCAGATTACCGGACGTTCTTCTATTTTTGCAAAATTTGATTACATACACCGTGTGTTGCAGAAATTGCTGTTGCTGCAATATATACTTTACAAAGTAAAGCAGCGTGTTTTGTGTAAAACTTGTCATGGCGCTCTGCTGTATGCTTCCCGATTCTTTCTGAGCTCTCTTTAATTAGCGCGATATAGTGCATTAATATACTGTTAGGATCGATCGATAAACTGAAAAATACGTTATTAAACATTTTACAAAATAGACAAAATGCATGAAAATATCTTGTAACTGGTCGTGATATTTTGCTCGCAACGGCTCCAAACAAATTTCAATTCACATGCAGCATTATTAACGGTTAAAATAATTCTTCGACACAAAGAAGTACTATATATTTGAAAGCAATTACACATGTAACAACTTTGTATATACATTTATATATATAAGCTATTAAAATAAATATTTTTACTATATACAAAACTCTGACACTGACCATTTTCGTAGATCCTGGATAGACCGATAGATGGCGTTGAGAAGACCCGGTGAAGATCGACCAGCAATAGTGTTTGTTGGAGACGTCATTGGCAGGTTCCTACAGACGTATTGATGTTCTGTCTATAGCCATATATTGTTATAAATCTTATTTAATGCAATTTCGCACGGTATCTATTGCTTCCAGATGTATATTAGGTTTATCTGGATACCAGTATGGCCACGTGTGTATTCAAGAGGTCAATGATAAACGTTATTAAAGTCAATTCTTTGGAGTGAAACATCTGCTGCATTTTCCCCGTAGGCCACAAAATGCCGCAAATTCAGTATAGAGCCTGAGGTGTTTGGCGTGAAGAAACTTCCAAGAGTGCTGTTGGAGGTGTGAAGAACAAAGAAATATCAAGAATGCTTTTGTGGAGACATTTGGGATACAGAGATGGATGGTTAGACATCATCTATCAACGAACAATACTAAACACAAAGATGTCGTGAGAAAATATTATGTTGTTGAATAATATGAGAATATCTTCTGACAAACACGAGAATACACGAGAAAACAATGGCTTCTGAAGACACGTAACTGTGTCTTCAGAAGCCAGAGACGTTAGCAAATTCAACACTAGTGAATGGCCGGTCTTTTAAAGGATGAAAGTACAAGTCTGGGTTGAAACTTCTGGTTTTCTGAGATATTGTCGATTCTGCAAAGACAAAAAAGGTCTTAGAACTCTAAACATTCGTACAATGCTATTACAAAGAAATCTGTTCAACAATAAATGAATGTGTTAAGTTTGCACATGTAATGGTCCACAAAGATTGTACGATTGATAGGATAACTCAGCACATCCCTCGTGGAATGCCTCCCGGAAGACTGTTCACTTAGTTTTGCAGGTTTTTTCCACGTTTGTAACACGTAATTAGACGCCATTTTCCCATAGAAAGTCATCTCGGGAGACCTGCTTTTCGGCGGTTCGTCCACGTGTCGCCTTGTCGTGTATAAATAAAACTAAACCTTTTGAAAAATCCCAAGTGATACTGAATCATCGCTGTATCTAGGAGCATAGAACATTTTACTCTTATGTTTGAAAAGTATTATAACTTGTTAAATACTAGAATTAATTGAGTCAGAGCGTTGTCACTCCTCTTGTTTGTGGCTTCTATGTGGCTCGTTTGTTCTGAAAATTTGAATGACCGATTTTAATAAAACTTTATCATTTTTCATCGATTGAGACGATGAATTCAGAACCATAATTATAAAATGGGTCCGAAACTTCCTTTTCGAATTAAAAGTGACAAAAATGTTCATGCTCCCTGACGCGATTGGGAGCACCTAACAAAAAAGTGAACACCAAAAGACCATCAAAATACAAGAAAACATTTGTTCGATCTATACTTTAATATGTTAATATTTAATTAAAGTACAGTATGTACTATCTTTTTATTAGATACAAATATATTTACTAAAGTAACTTAATTAAACAGAAAAACACAGGGAGAACACATGTTGCGCGTCTTAAATTAAATTGGTGTGAAAATTGAACTTGAATTTTTAGAGATTTAATTAAGATCGTTCAGTTTACAACACGTAATGAATTTTCTATTATGGCTATAAAAATTCTATACTTTAAGTATGCTTTCATATAGATAACACTACGTTTCTATTCATAGAATTTCTATTAATGACACCCTTCTTATGACAGTTCGCTTTACGACCACTCCTTTTTAGGAGTCGATTACTTTGTAAAATCAGCTCGTGTCTAAATTATTACTATACAGTTTAGTATTATTTCATTATTAATGTAAAAAGTTATAACTGGTGAAGCGTGAGAGACAGTGTGTCAGGTTATAATCAATGACACTGTTCTGTCGTTACCTAGTAACCATGAAATTTCGGAATGTATTTTAAGAAGTTTTCTGTGGGAAACTCGATTATATTTAGGTGTTAAACTGGTGAAAAAAATCAGAACCACTCGGCCATTGTTAGGCAACGATAAAATATAGATACACGTTATCCAAGAATGCGTAACAGTGA